AGATCTTAAAATTTTAATAAGCTATTAATGTTAAAATAATGATACTAGTCTTGATTTCATATACTGCGATTTGATTGGCTATGTAATTTTGAATGATGCCCAGTCATTGGCTTGTCAATGCTTTTAAGGTCAGAGAGATTAATTTTGTTATATTAACGTCAGCACATATGTGACATGATGCAATCAATTTTATTGGTTTTTTTTCCCCCTGAAAGTTAGCATCCATAAAATAACGTTTCTATGGAAATTTGACAATATAATGCAGGATTATACAACAAGCCATTGCTATGTGTGGTAATCACCAGTTCCTGATCATATCAGTCATGATAATACTGTAAAATACTTTATTTTCGCTTGGAATTTATTTTCGCTGAAGGGATGAATCAGTGAAAATAAAATCCAGCGAAAACACTTTTTTTCCTATAATTCACATTCAAACTCGTCAAAAATAAGTGAAAATAAATTCCATACAACACGCCCAAAAAGCCTTTTCAGAGAAAATAAAGTATTCCACAGTAGTACACATGCTGTTCCCTGCAGGCATAAAAAAGATTTTTTTTCCAATGATTTAACAATTTGTTAAATAATTGTCTCCATTTCTGGAAAAAGCAATCAGTATGAAAGTATTATTTTGGCAATTTTGCAGTTTTAAAATTTACATACAATATTATGAGAACACACACATCCGATTGACCAAACCTCAAGGACACACAGTTTCATGACACATTTATATCTCCACGGTATCGATATAGTCGATTTGATCCCACATTAAAGAGATTATTTTGTCGCCCTTACAACAAACGATGCAACAACTGTAGCGGCTTAAATGTTGTGCAGCACATAACCTACAAACAAAGGATATCAAAAAGAGCACATGCTCATTTAAAACCTTATCTCAACAGACATTATTGTCATTCTGTTTGTGTCAATCATCACAAATTCTGTTGAGTATGACTACACAGAAAAAATAAGCATTAGAAAACAATTATATATACATATAATTCATATGTGCCCAGTTAAACCCCAACTCTGTGGAATACACCTTTCCTATAAATTGTGCCCTCTAGTGGCAAAGCACTTCTATCATGTAAATGAACAACATGAAGAACGTTCAAAGCATTTTGGTCTGTTGTCGTTCATCAATTA